CGAACAAATACACTACTAAAATAATTCAACTGAGACAGAGTTTCGATCGCGGAAACTACTACTTCACACGGAAAAAACAACTGGGCCCGTGCAAACACTACAAGGTGCGGACACAAGGCACGGACACAGGAAAGAACAAGTTCACTGCGCCATGATACGTAAATTTTATTCGTGAAGACTTGGGAACGGAAACAAAACATGTCATGAGAAAGAACAACAGGAAAAAGAAGCACACTCAACTAATCCGTGTGTGTGCGTGCATGCAGTACAACTATGACGTAATGAATATAGATACACATCAGTAAATATGGCATAATTTGCGGTGAATTTGGTGTTTGCAGTTGATATGAGGCAATTTTCAGTGAGTACTCGTATGTAGTGAAATCAATCAGTTACAAGTCTCTGGTGTAAGCACTCGTCATATTTGAGTACAAAGCTGCCACGATGAGACGTTGCTGACCGAACAGTGCACTGTACGTGTAGTGAAACAAAAAAGTTCAAAAAACGCGGGAAAATCGCGGAAAATGCGGTCATTTAAAAAAATCGCAAAATGCGGAAAAAACGCGGCCGCGGAATCGCAATTTTCCCCGGGGACAGGATGATACCCGAAGTCGCAGATGACGTGTACAGTGCACGTGTACAAATTCATGTAAGGCCACGCGTTTTATTTCTATGTTTCTCGCAGTCACCCGCGCGCATACGATCCAGGAGTCTGGAAGAAAGAAAAAAAATGTGCTGCACTCTGTGCACTGTGGGGACCACCAGCACATGCACATATTGGTTGTTTTGGTTGGTTGTAGTGACAGTGATATCAGTTAAAGGGGAAGTTAAGCGGCTAAAATCAAATTTTCACCAGCTGTAGTCTTCGGGGTGCTGAGTCGAATGGCCGTGGTCCGAGGAAGCTGAGACGCTCCGTTCCTTCTTTATTCTCAATCGAACTCGCGCACTTCCACCGAAACTGGGTGATTGCGCCCTACTAGATGGGGGTTTGTATGCAAAATGTCACTAAGGGGCCGTCCGTAATAGTATTTACTTTAAGACGTCTAACAGGCGTTTCTGGTGGGTGGGTTCGCCTGGGCGTTTCTAAAAAATACATTGCAGAGTGCATGCATACCATACCGAGCGTGTATGTACATTTCAGAGTGCATGCATACCATACCGAGCGTGTATGTACAAGATGTAGCACTGCGGCTACAGCTATAGTACAGGTAGGCGTTGAGACCCACTTATTGTTATTATTATTGCATCATCATCTCGTAATAAGCATTAGCAATGCCAATATACCTACTGTTTTCTTTCCTTTCATTTCATCTTCTTTTCCGTTCCTTTCTTCTTCATACACATTTTAAACATTTTCATCATATTGTGAGAGCCGTGGGCTAATAGCCCCGGTGAGAAGGCAGTCTTGCCTGTTCATATGGTGAAGTAAAATAAAGAAACAACAACAACAACAACAACAACAACAACAACAACAACAACAACAACAACAACAACAACAACAACAACAACAACAACAACAACAACAACAACAACAACAACAACAACAACAACAACAACAACAACAACAACAACAACAATATTGAATGAGAGAGGGGTGATAGCCAACCACGGCCAATCAACAAAAGAAAAGTACTTGTAGTAGACATACATGTATAAGAAAGAAGAAAGAAAGAAGATAATTCAAAAGAAAAGCACTATAGTCTACACTGCAAAGCACGGGACACGGCAAAGTGGTCAGGGAGACAGGGAGACAGGGAGACTGTTCGCTATAAAGGGTCGATTTTGTATGGGTTCAAACAGGGACATGGACAAGGGTTCGCTATAATTATCACGAAATTCGCTATATGCAAGTTCGTTATAAGTGGAGTCGTCTGTACAGTATATGTGTGCATAGTATAGTGGTTATTATGAGTAGTATAATCTGCATTTTTGGGGGCGTTTCTGGGGATGGGTGGATGGGTCAAGAAAGAAATGCCTCTTAGACGTCTCTAAGTAAATACATGTATTTACGGACGTCCCCTAAAAGCGCCATTTCGTTCTTATAAAAGCACAGATGACCGCGATTGGCCCATATGTTGTAGTCTTTTGGACGCTGAGTCGACTGGTTTTGGTCCCGAAAAGGCGGAGATGTAGCGTTCGGTCCTTATTCCCAATCGAACATGGCTGAACAAGCGGTCACGTGCTCCTGCGTACACCAGTCAACTGGTCACCGTGCCTGCAGGCTACAACTTACTGCATGTTTGGGCGAGTTTCTGTCACGTGAGTTGAACCTTTGAGTTGAACCTTGGTGTGAACCTTGGTTAGAAAAATCTGATAATTGTGCCACCAATATTGCGTTCAAAAGTCTGGTTTATGAACATTCCCATTTCTTCTTTCAGAGTTTGGGTACAATACAGTTTTCTAAAATTAATATCAAATTCAATCATATCTCAATGAATAGCCTTGCTCAAGACCTTTCCAATGGGCCGTCATTTGCGTAAATCGGACAATCGGTCGCAAAAGTATATGGTACTTTTAGTGGCATGGCCTATGTCGAAAAAATTTGAGGGGGTGCTTGAGCACCCAAAGCACCCCCCCCCCCCCCCCCCCCCCCTGGGTACGCCACTGAACAGGGGTGCAGCCTTTCTCAGGAAGTGTAGGCGTTGAGCAGCCTTTGAGGCCACGGCCCGGAGGTGTGCTGAGTAGGACAGTTGCGAGTCGAATGCTACGCCCAGAAGTTTATTTTCCTTCTCTTCGGGAACAGTCACAGCATTGAAGAGCACTGGTGGGAGCGCTGGGGGAGGCTTGCGGTGGTCGATGATGAGGACCTGAGATTAGGATGGCTCGAAGGTGACCTTCCACTTGGAACCCCAGTGGGAGACGGCGTTCACTGCTTCCTGGAGTTGTGTTGCAGAGTCGGATATGCTGGCGGTGGCAGAGATGCACTGATAGGTCAAATGCACCTGATCATGTCACATGTACACGTACACGCACTGCATGTCACCCATTTACTGACAAGCCTGTACACATCTTTGCTAGTTTACATCATCATACTTGTATGTAAAACAGTCCAGTTGTAATCAGTACGTGAAGAGCGTCATTTTCACATACATACTGTAAAACCAGAAATTTTCGGTGGTGTTTTATTTTCTCCCACCGCTTAGGAGCTGCATCTGCGCCTTGATCCAAGAGGGTGGTGGCGTTCCTGCGGATGCGGAAAACTGGGCCTTTGGCCGAGTCTCACGCGAACCGTGAATTTTATTTTTATTTTTTATTTTTGGTAACTTCGGTGCCGACAATTTTTACCGAAAATAAAACGCACCGAAATTTTCGGTACAACCGATACTGTATTTTTTTTTTTTTTTTTTTTTTTACTAGAGCCACGTAAACCCGTCATGTGTGAGCCATGAATAAGGGGAGTGGTGGCGTGGTCTGGGATGCTCTCATACATGTAGTACTACAGTCCATTCCATATAAGTGTGCACTCTTTTCCAGTCAAAGGGCCAATATAAGTGTGCACTCTTTTCCATCCAGTCAAAGGCCATTGTGTATGCCCCGTGGATTCTACATGTAGGCCAGCCGCCAGCCTGACATGGGAATACCCCACGTGGATGCGTTGAGATGATCAATAAGGTTCATGACTTCTTCAAAGACAAAGCAGCGGCGCAAGAAAATGCACGGAAATCAGGCAGCAAAGCGAGCTAAAAAAATCAATTTTTCCATTTTCTCTTCAAATTTGGACAGATTTTGATCCGGTTTCTTTTAAAAGGAGCAGCAAGCAAGCGTGCATTCACTCAGAAAAAAATTGCCTTGTATTTGTACACAGTCGTATGATGGGAGCATGTAATAACAGTGCCCACTTATAGGGAATGGACTGTAGTACACCTACCTGGAGAACGGGTTTTACCGAAAATTTCCCGCTACCGAACCGCCGATTTTGGCGAATACCGAAAATATTACACCACCGAAAAATTTCTGCTTTTACAGTATTGCATATTGGTGTGCCCAACTCACTATAGCATCAACCTCACAATAACCTATTTTTCCCATCCCCCAGAGATTACGTTATAACTAGGTCTGACCTGTAGTAGGGCGCATCACCCCCCTTTTTTTTTTACAGAGCATGTGCATTTCGCCGCAGAGCAGTGTGAGAGCACATGCTGGGCACTGACCTTGTAATGTAAAGCTTGGCCAAGTGCACGAGGCGAAACTCCTAAAAAGACTCGCAGCATGTGCGTCATTGAAAAGATTACGTCAACAAAAAATTCCGCTGTGAGCCAACCCATCCGCGAGTTGCACACTCTTGTTTATCTACTCTTGCGCGTATGTATAGTGGTAGACGCTATAGCAGAACGTATAGTTGTAGACATGTGCATACGCATGTGATATCGCGTGTAGTGATGATTCGGATGAAGTGATAACGCTGAAAACAAAAACCTGTACGCAATAGCCCTTGTAAGCTGTGTCTGGTTAGCGTACGCGACAAGAATGTGCCCTGTACGTAAATACATAGCTTCTCTTCCAATTCTTCGTTACTGATCATAATCATAGAGCGAAGCATTGAACCCTGTTCGTGATAGAACATCGAGTGGAGTACAGTGGCCATACTGCTGTGGCCGTATGCCCATAGCCTATTTCCTACGCGAATGGTTAGAACACGGTATTCACGGTGTGAGGCAGAACGTTGGGCCGGTGGCAAGAGCTTCCTGAGTGCAACCCTCACCGCTGCTCAGTATGCCTGCAGGAGTACCTACCCCAGTACCTGCTCAGTGCACATCGTGATCATTTCCACATCTTATTCTTAGACATGTTTTCGTTCGACTCTACGACTCGTCGCCTGGCATGGATGCAGCGAATGGGATTTTTCGGTCTTTGACCACAAGTTGGACGAGGGACAGCTACATTTTTTAAATGTGAGAACAACTGATGCCTTGGGCACCCTGTAAGAAGATCTTTTAGGGCCCGTCTGTTGGGAATGCCCAAGTAAAATAATAAAATACAATACAAATGCAATGCCTTACTTTGCTTGAGATGCTGGGGATGATTGGACTGGTGCCAGCCGCGACAGTGAATCTGCATCTGCTGGTGGTGCCTTTGCTGCCTGACTGGGCAACAGCGACAACTTATCATGGGGCTTGTTGTCAGTTTCACTGTTGTTTAAAAGCAGTTCGTCTTCTTGGTCCGAATCCATGCTCTAGACAGCATACATGAAGTGAACATAGGCTCAGCAGACATCACAGAAAAAGAAAGCCAATAGCCTACATGTACATAACCATGTACTCTAGCTGTACAGTAGTCAGACTATCTATCTGGCTAGCTGCACAGTACAGGTCCTACCTTGCTACTCGCCCAAAAGGGTGCCCGAAGGACCGAAGTGTCCGTAACGTCGGCGTCCGGATATTAAACAGCGCTATGATTGACCAGTATTGTTGTTTCTGCTTTCAAGCACTGGCTTTAATGAGAAATAGAATGAGTGGCCATATACTACAGTGGAGATCGGATGAAACGACCTTGGATATAATGACAAATCGAGTTTAACGACAAAATTCTGTTGCCCAAGTCGTTTAACAAGTCCTTTCTCTACATTATAGTTCGGGTATACTCTAATTTCAGAAATTTTCGGTGCTCTATATTTTCGGTATGAGGGCAACAGGCTCGGTTAGGTGAACAGAAATTTTCGGTATAGAGAAGCAGTTCCCTATTGGATTATGTGTGTTAGTGTTTGTTCGGTGTATTGAACGTTTAGGTTACCATAGATTAGGTATGAAACAGACGCACCGAAAGTACCGAAAATAAAAGTACACCGAACATTTGTGAAATTACAGTAAACGACCTCGAAAATAGCGACAGATCAAATTTACTGACACTTTTGGTGCCCGAAGACCTGAAAATGCATCGAATATAACGACTTTCCTCTTGTATCAGGCAGAGTGGCATGCATGGAACATGTCTCAGCCTGTGTCACATGCCCGGACATCTGGGTCACTCCACGCGTGCTGGTCATAGCAGTGCAGCGGTATAGTTCAAGTATGTTGTAATGCATGACCTTTGGCTTGAACTATGCATGCAAGACACATGCACAACTGAAATCCATATGCATGATATTACGCACATGCATATCTGCAGTATATTTCTGTCATTTTTGATATACATAATGTGAAGATCGGGTTTAGTGGTGGTTTAGCGTGTGCGCTAAGCCCTGTTAACGAACGTGGAACATCTACCACTCATACTTAGTCTGATGATCATGCATCTGATTATGATGTCATTGCTATACATGCGCATGCGCAGCGCGCGCCACTCTCCCACGCGTGCATTCCAAATCTTGCTAAGTTGAAGTTTAGAGAGAGAGAAGGAGAAAAGAGAGACTCCTTTGTCACTTTTGCTTTCCGACGACTTGACTGTTCACTGGTTTGTCCGTCAGTTGTCAATTTCCTACATTTTCCTGCCTCAACGGACATGCCAAGAACACGGAGCACCTCACGGGGTGCAAGCGCTGCTGGCACTGAAGCTGACGGTCCCCCAGCTCTCTACCCGTATCCGCAGCGGGCTGTGAATTCTGCGAATTCTCAAGACCATCGGAGAGCGAGGTCCCGTGTGATCCATGCTCATGGGCACATTTCAGCCAATGCGGACCAGGTGACTTCTCCTGCGCCGTCACAACCAGCTCCTCTCACCCTGAGCGACCTGATTGGTGTTATCCAGCCCCTCCTGGAGCGCGTGGAGCGCTTGGAATCCAACGTCGTCGCCCCTACCACCTCGCCCATTGCCGCACCAGCACCAGCATCAGCTCCTCTCCCGCTGGGGCAGCCTTCCCCGATGCGCTTGGCTTGCGCAGCCGGCTCTCCAGGACTCACCGTCATCCCTCCACGGCTACGGGAACGTATCACACGAGGGGAGTTTGTCGAATTTGGGGACTTGTTGCCTGAAGCCATGTCCGGCAGTAGTGATGTCCTGCAGTTGTCGGTGGTGAACGGCAGGTCCGTTGAGCTGGTGCAGAGCTCGTCCACTCCCCAGCCCTCCAAGCGCCGAGTCCATGACTTGGCGACGTGGTTAGAGGCCTTCACCTTGTTCACCAGAGTCCTGGTCGATGCGTCGCCGGACCAAGCTCCAGATTTGCTGGCGTACCAAGCCAACATCATCGAGGCCAACAACAATTATCTGACCGACGCGTGGCTGACCTATGACCGTCGTTTCCGTGCTGGTCTTGCTGCCATGCCGCACCTGTATTCCTGGCGGCAACTGGACCCTAACCTCTGGCAGTCCTGCTTCACGAGCCGCGGGCGCCCTATCTGCTCGCGTTGTTCTCTCGTGCACCCATCTCCAGCCCCGCATTGCCCCTTTCGTGGAGGGCTCCCTCTTGCGCAGCACGCAGGCGGGAGCCAGTCAGCCACCAGCCCAGCTCCTCGTCACGATGGCCGCCAGATCTGCCGGAATTACAACAACGGCGCCTGCACATACCCGTCCTGCATACGGGCCCATGTCTGTCTGTCATGCCGCGGCAAACACCCAAAGAAGACTTGCACCCGAGCGGCCTCTCAGTCTTCCCAGTGACGTCGTCACTCCAGTCAACGTGCCTCGGCTAACTGCACTGCTAGCTGCTCACCCTGATGTCCTGTTTCGTGATTATGTATGTGCTGGCATGTTTAACGGCTTCTCGATTGGTCACACCACTCCTCTGGTATCATGCATTCAATCTGTCAATCATCCGTCTAGTCTCTGCAATAAACAATTTGTCACCCTGTACCTACAGTCTTGTTGCGATGCTGGGGAAACAGCTGGTCCGTTTGCTGAGCCGCCATATCAGCTGTTTCAAACCTAGGGTTTGGGCCTGATCCCAAAATCCAATGGCAAATTTCGCCTCATCCATGACCTATCCTCCCCCACTGGCCGCAGTGTCAATGATGGTATTTCCCGGGAGTCATTCAGCTTGGAGTATGACACTGTCGATTCGGCTATCTCCTATATCATGAGGTTAGGCCGTGGTTGCTACCTGACCAAAGTGGACATTCGAAACGCCTTCCGATTATGCCCTGTTGCCCCCTCTGACTGGCACTTGTTGGGTATCTCTTGGGATGGTCGTTACTATTTCGAAAAAGTCCTCCCGTTCGGCCTTCGGTCAGCTCCGTACATATTTGACAAGTTTGCATCTGCCCTTCATTGGGTTCTGGAGGACACATGCCGCCTTCCCCATCTCATTCATTATCTGGATGACTTCCTGAATGTATCGCCTCCCAGTCCTCCTCTTGCCCAGCACCAGAAGTCACTACTGCTCGACCTGTTTGCATATTTACAGGTCCCAGTTGCACCTGAGAAGGTTGATGGCCCCTCTACGGTTCTCACCTTCCTGGGCTTAGAGCTGGACACAATGGCTCTGGAGATCCGCCTTCCACCCTCAAAGCTGACTAAGCTATCTACCACCGTGTCGGCCCTCGTCCAATCCGGCCGGGTTCAGAAATGCGACCTCGCCTCCGTATTGGGCAAACTCTCGTTCGCGTCCAGAGCTGTACCAGCTGGTCGCACATTCCTGAGACGCCTGTACGACCTGGACAGAGCAACTCGATCAACACCATTGCACCAATGGCTACGCATTTCGGCAATGGCAGACCTGTTGTGGTGGGCAGAGGCCCTGACCATATGGAATGGGAAGTCATTCTTCCTGGTGGATGAGTGGACGCCAGCCCCCGACATGCAACTACAGACTGATGCCAGCGGCACTCACGGTTATGGTGCCTTCTACAACGGCCGGTGGCTGAGAGGAGAGTGGACAGCCCAGAACGAGAACGAGAACATTGAGTTCAAAGAAATGTATGCTATCATAGTTGCCTGCGCGACCTGGGGTTCGGAGTGGAGCAGGCGACGCATTCAGTTTCAGTGTGACAACAAGGCCGTGGTGGACTGCATACGCTCCGGTACCTGCCGTTCACCGCCAGTCATGACACTTATCCGGGCATTGTATCTGCTGTGTATTGAGCATGACTTCTTGGTGTCAGCTGTCCACATTCCTGGTGTCACTAACACTGTCGCCGATGCATTGTCTCGCAATTTGCTGCAGGTATTCAGGCACCAGGCCCCGGAAGCAGCAGCCGAGCCAGATCAGCCAGTCTTGCCAACTCTCCGTTGACAGACTACGTGCTACAGCTAGCAGCACTGGCAATAGCACCATCCTCCCGCCGGACGTATTCTACCGCCGAGACCCGCTACTTCCAGTTCTGCCAAGTGCATGCCTGCAACCCATTGCCAGGCGACGACTTTACTTTGTGCTATTTTGCTGCCGAGTTGTTCAGGACTCTTCAGCCTCGATCTGTCCGTGTCTAAAGTTACATGTCGGCAATCCGCAACCTTCATGTGGAACTTGGCTTTGCTTACCCGTCGGGCCCAACAACTCTCCTCGCTAGGGTCCTGCGGGGCATCGACAGGTCGTCATCGACACAGCGTCATCGTCTGCCGATAACCACTCCACTTCTCAGGGAGATCTGCCGGCATGTTGCCGTTCCACGCATGCGGCGCCCTCACGACAAGGCCATGCTAAGGGCAGCTTTTCCTTGGCGTTTCATGGGTTCTTCCGTTGTGGAGAACTGACTGCTGGCCTGAGGCGATGTGATGTGACGATCAGTACTGACCAGCGGTCGTTATCGGTAAACGTGCGCTCATCTAAGACGGACCCCGACAGCACCGGCCACACAGTATTGGTTGGAGCCAGCACAGACGCACTGATCTGCCCAGTGCAGGCCATGGCAAACTACCTGGCGTTTCGCCCCGGCGGCGACCATCTGTTCACTTATGCTAATGGCCAGCCGCTTACAAGAAATGCAGTGTCCTCTGAACTGCGCAACCTGCTGCCACTCTGTGGGGCCACAGACCCGAGTGCATATGCCAGTCACTCTTTCCGGATTGGCGCCGCAACATCAGCGGCCATGGCAGGTGTCCCCGAAAACATCATCCGTATCATGGGTAGATGGCGCAGTGATGCGGTCCACCGCTACATCCGGGCTGCTACAGCTGACACCCTGCGAGTGTCACGTCAATTAGCTGCAGTTCAAAGTCATCAATGGTAGCTGCGGGTTAGTGACCACATCATGCCTGAACTGCTTAGCTTTAGCTTTACATTGCTGCTGTCAGTACAGCACAATACACCAGTCGTATTTCATTATTACTCTCATGCCATATTGGGGATATTGGGAACGGGCAGTCTATCTCCGCAGCTGGCTCATTTCAATCACTACCGGTCGCAGCTCCTGCCCACGGCAGGCCGACCGTCTCTCGTTCACACTCTGTGTGCTCCAGGTCACAGCTCCTGCGCAGAGCAGGCCGACCTGTCTGTCTCTCTCACTCACACACACTATGTGTGCACCGGGTCACAGCTCCTGCGCAGAGCAGGCCGACCTGTCTTTCTCATGCACGCCAGCTGCTCCGCCCAATATCCCTGATATGCCAACCAGAAAACAATGTGTTCTGAGCCGGGTGCATGCCTGTATGTGGAGAGTGCGTTAATGGTGGTTTAGCGTGTGCGCTAAGCCCTGTTAACGAACGTGGAACATCTACCACTCATACTTAGTCTGATGATCATGCATCTGATTATGATGTCATTGCTATACATGCGCATGCGCAGCGCGCGCCACTCTCCCACGCGTGCATTCCAAATCTTGCTTTAGAGAGAGAGAAGGAGAAAAGAGAGACTCCTTTGTCACTTTTGCTTTCCGACGACTTGACTGTTCACTGGTTTGTCCGTCAGTTGTCAATTTCCCCTTCCCTCCCAACCCCATTCGACTGGGGATCACTATCTCTCCGTCACTGTCACCATAATTTCCTCAATAACAGTGTCAGTACAAACTCTTGTCAATATACTTATATCGGGTGAGGGCAGTCTATCTCCGCAGCTGGCTCATTTCAATCACTACCGGTCGCAGCTCCTGCCCACGGCAGGCCGACCGTCTCTCGTTCACACTCTGTGTGCTCCAGGTCACAGCTCCTGCGCAGAGCAGGCCGACCTGTCTGTCTCTCTCACTCACACACACTATGTGTGCACCGGTCACAGCTCCTGCGCAGAGCAGGCCGACCTGTCTTTCTCATGCACGCCAGCTGCTCCGCCCAATATCCCTGATATGCCAACCAGAAAACAATGTGTTCTGAGCCGGGTGCATGCCTGTATGTGGAGAGTGCGTTAATGACAGATCGAATATAGCGACATGTTGTTTTCTCCCGAAGGAGTGTCGTTATATCCAATCTCCACTGTAGTAATATATATATATATATCAGCACGTTTCGCTCTGATTCCTGGTCAAAAATCATACTGGAGTGATGTAAGATGATCGACGGAGCAAGTTGCCGCCTCATGATATGGTAAGCTGTATAAAACCGTGGCATAAGATGCCAATTCCCGAATGCACTTCGGTCGCAATGAGTACAATACAGCCTACAAGTCCGGATACAGTATCATTCAACAGCTGCAAAACTTGACTAGCAGTAGCACAATACTTTGTACTGATCCTCGGCGAGCGCCGCCCTCTTCACTATACTAGTACCGTACTCAGTCCAAGTGATGTGAAAGTCAGTGTTTTATAGCCCAGATCAATGACTGGAGAGATGATACGCAGTGTCTTTTGCAAAAGCGATGCAAAGATAAACGTATGCTACTGTCGTGGACATGGAAATCCGGTCGCACGTCAAGCGGCCCCAGGGCGCTGGCCATGCAGCCGAGGATAAGCGGTGCACACATGCGTTTATCATGTTTACGCGCTGCAGCGCGCTGGTCGCATCGGATCAACAAGTGCACTGCACGCAGCGTTCTGTACGCGCTGAGGGCGCCGGCCCCGGTCAGTCGACTGGATTTCCAAAGTCGCACTGTGCTTTCAAAGACCACTACACCTTCCGCAATCCGACTTGAAAGCAATGATGGAATCCAGTTGTATACGTGTGGGGCTGAATGTATAATTCATACTTCCTAAACTGGTAAAATCAATTTTGCCACATTTCAACTAAAAAATACCGTGGCAAAACGTGAAGGAAGTTCGGAGGTTCCGTGCTCACCTCCTTCTCCTAGACTTGTAAGTTGTAGACGGATAATCTTCCACCACTAGTCACTAGCGCATGCCGCGTGTCACAAACTACCTCCAGCTGAATTAGATAACGGTGCAATGCAGCAGGATCCCGGTCCGGTCATCCATGTGGCCAAGAAGAATGTGATTGAGGTGAAGTGCGGAACCTCCGGAGGGTGACTGTCGTTGAAGACGGAAGTGCGCACCGCTCAGTTTCCGCTGCTACATACGTGGAAATCTATGAATCCGATGTCTGATCTGGTAGGATACCGGTAGTGCAGCTATTCCAGCGCCCCTACTAGCAGGATGATCTGATTTCGCCAACAAAGTGACTTCACGATATTGTACAAGAGCTATTTATAATACATGTACATATACATTACAGTATCGAAAAATAATAAATACCAGTATGTCACTTCAAACATAAAGCTGGCAGCTGGTCAACGCATATGGCTACCATGATTACCATCTACCATGAGTCCATGACATGATAGCTAAGATGTACTGAGTAGTACACACACGTACCGGTATACTACTAGTAGTAGTAGTAGTAGATCTACGGGTAGATCTACCGGGTAGACTCTACCATCGCCTGTAGATCTACCTGTGTACTGTGTAGACTAACCTACAAAGTCATTGTACAGTGTAGTAGTACTAGTACACTGGCTGTAATCATGGTAGATCTATGATTTATGCATACATGAGTATGATGAGATCTACCATTTATCACTACATGACTGTATCATCACAGGACCAGGCAGAAGCCAGATTATTATTATTATTATTATTTATTAAATTTTTAATAGGGCATTCCCACAGGCCTAAGGCCTTCTTACGGGGTACCCTATATGTTTTTGTATAGATGAGCGGAAGTCTGATAGCGTGGAGCAAATACGAACAGATCGTCCAATAATAAATTATTATTTTAAAGGGGAAGTTAAGGCAAAAATTAAAATTTCACCAGTTGTAGTCTTCGGGGTGCTGAGTCGAATGGTCGTGGTCCGAGGAAGCTGAGACGCTCCCTTCCTACTTGAATCCCAATCGAACTCGCGCACTTCCACCGAAACTGGGTGACTGCGCCCTACTAGATGGGGATTTGTATGCAAAATGTCACTAAAAGCGCCATTTCGTTCTTATAAAAGCACGGATGACCGCGATTGGCCCATATGTTGTAGTCTTTTGGACGCTGAGTCGACTGGTTTTGGTCCGAAAAGGCTGCGATGCGGCGTTCATCCTTTATTCCCAATCGAACATGGTTGAAGAAGCGGTCACGTGCTCCTGCGTACACCAGTCACCTGGTCACCATGGTCACCGTGCCTGCAGGGTAGGCAAAGCCCGATTTTGCCAGGGAAGGTTCGATATTTTGCCGCAACATTTTGCTGGCTCATCGTCGATATTTTGCTTTCATTTTGCCAGGCCACTCGATATTTTGCTCCCTTTTTGCTCCAAAATTTGTGTCACGTGTGAGAAAACTGACCGAAATTCGAAAGTGGGTTACCATGGTTACGTGTTGGCAAAAATGAGAAAAAGTGAGTCACGTGTTGGTAAAACTGTGCCGAAATGAGTCATGTGCACCGTATATGTGTAAAATCTCCCAATTCCCAGCCAACACACCGATATTTTGCTCCATTTTGCCAGCAAATTCCCTTCCAAAATTCTTCGATATTTTGCTAGCAGAATTGCTAGCAAAATCGGGCTATGCCTACTGCAGGGTACAACTTACTAGCCTGTTTGACCTTTTTTGGCTGCAGTCCTGTCACTCGAGTTGAACTCGAGTTGAACCTTGGTGTGAAAGTTGTCACCTGCTGGCGTGGTGACCAGGTGATTTGGGCACCCAGGAGCACGTGACCGCTTCTTCAACCATGTTCGATTGGGAATAAAGGATGAACGCTGCATCGCAGCCTTTTCGGACCAAAACCAGTCGACTCAGCATCCAAAAGACTACAACATATGGGCCAATGGCGGTCATCCGTGCTTTTATAAGAACGAAATGGCGCTTTTAGTGACATTTTGCATACAAATCCCCATCTAGTAGGGCGCAGTCACCCAGTTTCGGTGGAAGTGCGCGAGTTCGATTGGGATTCAAGTAGGAAGGGAGCGTCTCAGCTTCCTCGGACCAAGACCATTCGACTCAGCACCCCGAAGACTACAACTGGTGAAATTTTAATTTTTGCCTTAACCCTTTACCGGCAAGTTACTTTTGTATATGAAATCCATAACATTTAGAAGGATGCCAATAACTCACAACGAGGCCACATTTTGTATGTGCAAGTTATGTTTTCTTGGAAGTCTAGTGCTATTTCTTGACCATGGAAAAAATTATTTTCTCATACCACACACATACGCTGCTAAATTGGCACCTCTACGTCTCAACACGGAAATTGTACACATGCAAATCGTCAGAGTTCCGACATTGACATGATACTGCCAAAACAAGTCGACTTCGGAGCGGAAACAAACGCCATAGCCATCACAAACTTCAGTGGCCATGCCTCGCTCGCAAATGAGAGCAGCATCGACCCAGAATCGCTGTCGGAAAGCTCCGTAAGGTCACACGCACGCCGCGCTGCGCTGCCGTCACTCAGGTACGTAGAAAGTCGATGGCCTAAATTCCGTCTCTGGGAGACTGTCGACACGGGGATCGCTCTCCATGGCTTCCCCAATAAGCACCATCAGATTCTTCCAGGTACATCACGACGACATCGTCTTCAGCGGCTGGCGCTCCCCATATTTGCGTGAGAATTTACTTGGCGTGCGCCAGGCTCCGTAATTTGAAATTCGCTTGCATTGGCGGCTGGAACGAAGTATTTATCTATCTGTCGTCGGTCCCAGAGCGAATGACTGCTAGGTCCTCGTCGGAGAAGTCATCCAAGGACGAAAGGAACTCACTGCGCAAGAGAAAATGCACCTGACGATGTTTTGACGGAGGCGGACGGCATTGTCGGCGCGCGTGTATTTCCGTAAGTTTTCGATCGCGCAGTTCTCAATGAAATCAAATGGGACACGCGTGGATCTCTTCAGCTACGGATAGGATCATACCTTGGCTGTGTGGGGGCCACGGGAAATCCCCGTGGGCTGATGCTTCCCGTCATGCCAGGCATGGTTTTGTATGCATGTCGAATGCGTCAACGTTGACGCATTCAAGTATGGGGCTGCCGGTAAAGGGTTAACTTCCCCTTTAATAATCCAGGTGGTCGAGTCACGCAACTCACAGTCGCAGTCACACTCACAAGTCACAGGAGCGGCTGAGCTGAGGATCCAGGATCTAGGAGGAGCCAGAGACCGGCCTGACCAGGAATGCAGGATAAAACAATGCCGTCAGAATCATGACTTTTGACACTGCACTAATACTGTGTGATAGTGTAGCGTTGGCACGCTAGTAACTACACAGCTGCAGCGTGTCTTTCAATGTATTGGTCACGCGTGTTACACCGCACCCCCGCACTTGCAACTCTGTACCGTGCTTGCAGATCCATGACATGGATAGTAACTAGTCTCACTGCGTTCAATGTTTCATATTGACCTTGGAAATACTGCTGCACTTTCAACTGCCTCTTTTACGCCCATTGCCCACACTGCCACTCAGCTCCTTCTTCTGCATAGAATCAAATGGCATTCCTTGTGCAATGACTGTAGCCCACACAACATACTTTGACCTTTCTTCTTCTCTCTGTTGAGCCTTTGCCGTGACCATTGCTGTTGCAGCACGTATGCTGTCTGCCTATAAAAGCTGCTGTTCACAATTCTCTACACGCCAGTTAGAAGTTCAGTTAGAAACTACAGTTAGAAAGGCCAGTTAGAAATGCCAGTTAGAGATACCAGTTAGAACCTTCAGTAATGTCAGTTTAGAGTTAGAGTCAGAGTTAATGTTTAATAATTATTAACAGTGTGTTCACTGAGACCCGTCTGCATTTGCCTCCGAGAGAGACTGCGGCCCGTTACAGAATTGGTGCCAGCGGTGGGATACGCTACAGAATTGGTGCCAGCGGTGGGATACGCTACAGAATTGGTGCCAGCGGTGGGATTCGTTACAGAAATGGTGGCAGCGGTGGTACAATTTTATAATTGCTAGATTCGAACCCACCTAGTATCTGTATTGCATTGATGGCAGCGGCGCTACAGAATTGATGGCAGTGGTAAATTGTTTTATTGGTGTAACCGGTACCAGCATGGCCCAACCTGATGCGCCAGTCGCCGCTACTCCTTCGCCCGCCACGTCTCCCCCAAGCCCGAAATGATGACGGACAGCGTCTCTACCGATCAAGCTCCGTGTCCAATGTAAGCTAATTCCCGATATGGCATTTTCTTTCCTGTCTTCCTTCAGTCTTCCTGTTCTCTTCAGTCTTCCTTTATGCGAGTGCGTGAATCCAGTTTAGTTAGGTAGGCGTCCGATCATGGTGAGCCACGGTCTATCTAGCTAACCTGGGATAATGTGTGTTAGAGTGCCCTTTGTCCAGTTCAGTTTGGAACTGTGAACTATTTTTATGGCTCAAACGCCATGGTGGTACAGCAAGTGTGCTGTGAGTCCTATTTGGAGGACAATTTTTTCCCCTTTGGCCCCGTGAGAGCGTGTGAACCTGGTGTGCTGCTACTTTATGATTTTATCAGTTCATTTCTTCTGTCTACTCCAAACGTTATCATTTCCGATATTATTTTGCCATATTCCGGTTGACGCTGTACCAGTATGATGCGCTATCTCCTATAATGTTCAATGATTATGTTCGCACCACCTCTCAGTCCTGTGATATGCTGCTGCGCTCCAGCCAGTACTTCAATGTCAGTTGTCCTCATCGCGTCCGGATATCAACCGAGGCTGTGTCACAAATACATACCTGTATATGCAAGTCATCCATTCTGCCTATCTTCTTCCGTCGAGGTTATTCCGACGCGACCATGCATGCCTCCAGTGTCTTCTAATCTCAGTCGATTGTCGGAGTCCGGCTATATCAACTAATGTTACTCGCCCAGTCTAGTCTGCGCATCTTCATGATCTTCTATCAGTGTTCGTCACTTCGTGTTCTGCTACTCGGACTCTAATCACGAGGACGTGATTGTGTTTAAAGAAGGAAGGTGTAGCGTTGGCACGCTAGTAACTACACAGCTGCAGCGTGTCTTTCAATGTATTGGTCACGCGTGTTACACCGCACCCCCGCACTTGCAACTCTGTACCGTGCTTGCAGATCCATGACATGGATAGTAACTAGTCTCACTGCGTTCAATGTTTCATATTGACCTTGGAAATACTGCTGCACTTTCAACTGCCTCTTTTACGCCCATTGCCCACACTGCCACTCAGCTCCTTCTTCTGCATAGAATCAAATGGCATTCCTTGTGCAATGACTGTAGCCCACACA